TTTAGGTCTCCTTTGATTGTTAAACCAGTAGAAAATAAACGTTGTGGTGTTGTGATTGAGGAGTTGGATGAGCAGGGAAGAATAATAGGGGAACCATGTTCTGGAAAAGGTTTTAGAATGGGTCTGTTATTTGAGGAACATACTGGTACAAAAGATAATCGAGATGTGTTACAGAACTCAGGTTTACAGCAGAAACAAATTGGGTCATCAGAGCAGCCTCATAGTGCTGGACATGGACAGAGCATCCAGCAGCTTGCTAGTGCACTAGATCAAGAAGGGAGAGCTACTACCTCTGCTTCAACAGACCAGCATCAAGGCACATTCGAACGAGGTGCTGTCTCTGCTTCTACTATCCAGCATGAGCAAGCTAGTGAACTAGATCCAGAAAGAGGTATTGCCTCTACTTCAACAGACCAGCAAGAAGGCACATTTGAAACTTCTACTATCCAGCATCCTATTGACCATAATAGCAGTGAACAACCTTTTGAGGAAGGAGTCATAGAAGATGTTGAAGAATCAGAATCAGAGCATGACTCTGACAGATTTAGCAGTGGTGACTACTGTGGCGATGAGGCACTATTGGATGGTTTGATACCAGAGACAACAGGGGGTGGAACTTCAGAGCAGCAATTTGATGAGCCACTAACAGATGAGGTGCAGCCTGATTCACAGCAAAATAATGAAGCAACAGGCACATTCTCTTCACAACAGCATGATGCACAGCAGCCACAACAGAAAAAAAAAACAGGTTAGGAGAAGGAAAAATGTACAAGTACAGTAGCAACAAGCTCAAAATGAACCAGAAGCTGCTGATACATTGGCTGAAGATGTAATCCCAGACCACCTTAGCAGTGATGGTGGCTCATCAGAAGAAGAAGAAGATGGTGACCAATTCCAAAGAAGGTACAAAGATTTTTGTGTGGAGAAGTTCAAAATTGATACCAGATTTGAGTTGGGTATGAAATTTGGTTCAAGAGCCCAGTTTAAGGCAGTTGTTCAAGAATATGGTATCAAGATGGGGAGGCCAGTATACACCAAGAGGAATGAGAGTAAAAGGGTGAGAGCCAAGTGCAAGGCCCCATGCCAATGGTTTGTGTTTGCCTCAATTGAAAAAGCACTTGGGAGTACTGATTTGGTAGTTAAAAGCATGAATGACAAGCATGAAAATTGCAATCACGCCTGGAAAAATAAAAACCTGAAGTCTAAGTGGTTGTCTGACAGGTACATGGAGAGGATTAAGTCGAACTCTCGAATCCCAGTTAGGGAGATCCGGCAAACTGTGAATGAGGAGTACCAAGCTCAAATTTCCAGATGGATAGCAGCCAAAGCAAGGAAACTGGCACTTGAAATGATAAAGGGATCAGCTGAACAACAGTATAAGAGAATTTGGGAATATTGTGCTGAGATAAAAAAGACACATGAGGGCAGCACAATGGAGGTGATGTTTACTCCATTTAGAGGGCCTGGGGGCAACCCAAAATTTATGAGACTCTACTGCTGTTTAGGGCCATTGAAAAAAGGATTTAAAGATGATTTGAGGCCATTGATAGCATTGGATGGGTGCCATTTGAAGGGGACTTATAGAGGGCAGTTATTGACTGCCATTGCAGCTGACCCTAATAATGGGTGGTGGCCCATTGCCTGGGCAGTTGTAGAGAGAGAAGCTACGGAGCAGTGGGCGTGGTTCTTGAAATACCTCAATGATGATTTGGAAATTGAAAATCAATTTCATTATACCTTTATTTCTGACCAACAAAAGGTATACACATGTACACTTTGCAATAATGTGAACATGTGTATGTATGTGTATGTATATACATAGTACCTTCCTTGATATTTTGTTTCTTCCTTTACAGGGGTTGGATAGAGCATTAGCTGAAGTTCTTCCAAATTGTGAGCATAGGTATTGTGTCCAACACATGTATCGAAACTTCAAGAAGAAACATCCAGGTCTGCCTCTTAAGGATAGGCTGTGGAACATTGCCAACAGCACAACAGAGGAACTCTACAATAAAGCAATGGCAGAACTCAAAGATTTTGATAACGAGGCATATCAGTGGGTAAAAAATGCTCCAGCTCCTCGGCATTGGTGCAAGGCCTTCTTTCCGACTCACACAAAGAGTGACATGCTGGTCAACAACTTGTGTGAGTCTTTTAATGCACATATTCTTGAGGCTAGAGACCAGCCAATTATAACAATGCTGGAAATGATCAGTGAGTACCTTATGGATAGGATCCGGAAGAGAAAATCAGCAATGGAAAGATATGATAGCCCAACTAGACCTCTAATCAACGAAATTATTGAAAATAGAGTAAAAATTGCAAGTCAGTGGATGCCTATTTGGAATGCAATGCATGGCTACCAGGTGAAAGGACCAAGAGGGGCCCAATTTGCTGTAGATATGGAGAAAAAGAACTGTAGTTGCAGGTTATGGGAGGTTAGTGGCATTCCATGTTGTCACGTCATTGCTGCCATTCTTTTGAGGAATGAAGACCCACGGCAGTACTTGAATGTTTGTTATAGTATGGGGCTATTCTTGAAGCTTTATGAGAATGTGTTACAACCAATTAGCGGTGAGGATCATTGACCCCCATCAACAATGCCTGAATTGGAGCCCCCGGTATCAGTAACTCAACCTGGAAGGCCTAGAAAGGCTAGGAGAAAGGACACAACTGAAGGCAAGAATCATGGTAGAAGACTAAGAAGAAGGATCATTATTCATTGTCGAAAATGTGGGGAGGCTGGTCATAATGCAGCAACATGCAAGGAACCAACCAATGAACAAGGGCAGCAAGATACTTGAACTGAACCTGTGACGCAGCAATCAAATGTAAGAAGGAGGAGACAAACAGTAAGTACAACCAGACACTTGTTCACTTTTAATTTTTCCTGTTTTGCAGCTAACATGGTTCATGAAATTTTGGAGGTTATGCAGTCAGAAATATCACAGCAACAGCAGGTTGATGAAGCTGCGCATGAGCAGCCACAACAGCAACCAGGCCAGCAACAATCACATGAAGTCCATGATCATGAACCTGGGCACCACCAACCACAACAGCAGCAACAAACATCTACTCCAGGCCCGAGTGAAAAGACTTGTCCACCAACCCGTAGCAGGAAAACTTCAACTCGGAAACCACTCACTGATGCAGAAAAAGGAACCATAAATGCTAACTATGCATATTTGGGTAAGGAGCCACCGTACACAATGGGTTCTTGGAGAGGAAAGTGGAATGGAAGAGGTAGAGGGAGAGGAGGACAAACCACAAAAGATAAGGGACGGGGAAGAGCTAATTAAAGAGGAGCAACAGTCAAGAACTACTTGAAGAGGGACCTCTAATCACATTTTTTGCCAACTGTTTTTTGTCTTACAATCTTGAATCTCGTTGGATGTTAGTGGATGAATTCCAATCAACTTTTGTTAGTGTTGATTACGTTTTGTATTCTGGCTATATTTTTGTACACCATTGACATCAGCATTGGTTATGTAGGGTCAATATAATATGATGGTCTTTATATTTGCTTCACTTTTGCAAATGTTCATGTCTTTGTCTGGTTAGTATATCTAGTTAATGGAATTGTGCTGCGTCTTCACATTGAGAACCACTGGGACTCAATTGATCTTCACTTTGTCATTCCTTTCAAGCAGGGCAGTTCTTTTACAAGTGAAACAACATTACAGAGTATTTCACCAAACAAGTGAAACAATAAAGCCTTGCAAATATAGTCTGATTTTTTCCCAGCAAAGCATGCCTGATTTTTTATTCAACAAATCAAAACTTACATTTCATTGCACATCTACCGATACAGTCATTACAGAGTACAGAAACAATAACGTGCACCCACTTCATTCATCTTCATACTGCTCCTTCTATTTGCCTAAAAACTGTGAGATTTCCATTTTTTTTGCCCCAACTAACTAAGATTATAGTTGTTAGCATCCATGTTAACAAAAACAATCTCACCAGACACTTGTTCACCCACTTTTTGCTACGGATTTCTTTTTCTAGTTCTTTCACTTTGACCTTCAACTTTGCGACTTTTCTTTCTTGTCTTCTTACTTCTTCTTCATATGCATCTCTTTGCTGTTCAGCTACATTAATTCTTTTCAGAAGCCCAGGTATGATCTCCATTGACCGGCTGCACATCTCCTTGTCGATCCACTGCCAAAATCTGCAACCACCATCCGCGCACACCGCAAATCTCTGTCCAGGATTTCTTGAGGTCCACGAAGTTATGACTCTCGACATTTTCTCACACCTGCACAATGGGAAATCCGGATTGTTGGTTTCTCGCATGTTTCCAGTTCAGCAACTTCTTTGGCTGCAATTGAGTTTTTCTTTGTTCAAGTTCAGGAAGAAGTCCCATTTCACCAAGTGGATGACAGCTCTTTATGGACAAAAATGCCCTTCGTATTTCGGCGTGCTTCTCACGTGAGCATAGATTCCGTCGGTATTAACTGATGAATTTGACAGAAGGTCTAACAATTTGTACTTTGGATAGATCGGGGGCCAAAAATTTACATTTAATTGTTTGGGGGCCAAAACTTCATCCGGGTAATAGTTTGAGGGCCACTGGGACTTTTTGCCCTTTTGGATTTAATGATAGTAATTAATAATCGCGCCTGTTCGTGTTTGGGCGGGAATTTCATAATAAACTTTTGACGTTTCATAACCGCCTCTGTTGCACTTTTTTTTCCTTTTTAAATTTTTGGTCCTCACTAATCAAAACGGGCCATTTTGGTTCCTCCTTTGTTGGGGTTCGACGTGAATAGCTGAGGGCCTCTTGTTGAGCCAATGTTTTTTGGGTCTGTTAGACTGTTTTAATAAAGACTTCAGCGACGAGAGTTTGGAGTTCGAACTTCGAAGCCAGAGGCAAATTATCTGGTGAGTGATCAGAACATGTATACAAATACAAGTTATCTAAACCTCTTCTTCATATGAGGATAAGTAACATATTTAGGTTGAATTAATTGAATGTTAAAGCAAATCCGTGATCAGTTCCACAATTATCATCCACTTCTTATTAGTATAGGAGGACTTATCTTGGCCTAACTTCACTGTAGAAGTCGAGAATTTCCAACATGTAAAGAACAAATGAAGAAGATAGGTCTATTGTAGAGTGCACAGACAACGCTTAAGTTAGTTCTGAATGAGGGAAATCTCATTGCTACTGACATCTTTTTTTCTGGACTTGGACTCCAAATCATCAAGATAATGCTGATAAATGTAGGATATGAATCCCCATATGGCAAGCAATATCGCTACTGCCTTTACTCCGCTCATCTTGTCCTTGAACATGAATACAGCTAAAATTGGTACAATTGGCAACCCCAGTGTACTGATGACATTAGCAAAGAGTGAAGAGACCTTCAAAATCAACCCCACTATCCCAATGGAGAAAATTTGCCAGCACACTGCTATCCACATCAAAGTCATTGTATAGGATGTCTTGCCTAGTGCAAATTTGTTCATCTCTGCTGTAAGGGTCTTCCACTCTCCACTAGCGAAAAGGCCGATCAACAGGATACAACTTGCTACAAGCGATTCGTAAATCAAGAAATCGAAAAGCTCCTTAACTCTTTGCCTTTTCAGAATCTTGTTGATTGCAAATTGTGTTAGAGATAGTATCAATGAGGAAAGTGCTGCTGCTAATAGGGTACATATGAATCCTATAATATACTTCCCTTTGGAGGATTTTGAGAAGCCTGAGGAGTCATCATTTTGAAGCACAAGGAGGGCAGAGGAAGTGGTCAGAAGTACCAATGAGTTGACAATGAAAGGAGTGAACTTTTGCGAATTGAGAAAGAAGGAAAACAAAGCATTGAAGCCTAACTGAGTTGCATTGATGAGCGAAAAAGTGGATACAGGAAGATATAAGAGGCCTACTGAACATAACATCCCTACGGCTGCTAGCAAAGTGCCAAGAACCATATATATTGATCCGAGGACTATAGGAGATGGTGGCTTTGTTTGTTCAGTTGAGTTGTTTTTTCTGTTTTTTGTGTTATATAGGAATGGCAGGAGGATTGGAAATCCAGCAACTTGTAAAAATGCCGATAACCATTTGCTATTTCCACCCTTTACATAATACAACCTTCCCAGGAGTGTAGCAGCTGACTGGCCAAAGAGCACAAGAAGGGCAAATAAGGCCATTAGAAGCCATCTCTTGTATTGGTTAAGCAAAGGAACAGATGACTGTTGGTTTCCAATGGCCTTTCCCGCACTTTCAGTAAATTTTGATTCTTGAGCAGCTCCCTGAACTGATAAATTAACAAACACAGATCAGGATTAGTTTTCTCTACCACATTTCTCTTAATGAAGAAGAGGACATAACAAGAAGATCTTTAAGGAATATCTGAAACAAAAAAGAAAAATGCTCATGCGAACACATGAAAATCCTTTTTGCACGCTAATGCAAAAATTGTTCAATAACGGAAGGTCACATGTACTGTCTGCTAAAGCTAATGGCAGCAACTCTGCTTTTTGTACTTGAAAATGATGTAAACTTGAGACTAATTATATAGACTTGACTTTCGGAAAAACGAAAAAGATCTCCATTGGCCTGACCAGAGCTTCTTTGAATGACTTTGGCATTTCAGCTGTCGAATGTTAGCAGTTTTCGTCATTCAATAGTTTCAAATGAAGATCCAATAGCTCCACTTATGTTTGAAGATCAGAAATTAAGAACTCTATAGGTGAATCAGTCTGTACTTCAGTTAATCAGTATGTTGTAAGCTAGCATGACACCTGAATTTGTTTTATCTTTAAAGGTGGACTATTTGAGCTTAGATACAGAAATCCTACATACATTCAATAACAAGAAAAGTTCGTAAATAAAATTAAATTAAGAAAAATACTAGTCAAGAAAATCAGACAAGACAAACACTTTATGTACTTGCTTTTAATCTACCTTGAAAACTTACTCGTGACATGTATTTGCTTTTCTTGAGCTGCATCCTCCATTGAAGAAGATTTTATGTAAGCTAGAACCAGAGAAATGAGAATTCTGATCACTTAGATAGGGTACCGAAGCATACGAGTTCCTTCTTGTCATTGTTACTTGGTCAATATATATACAGCTAGCTTGGTTTGGTAATGTGTAATTGTCCATATCCATAAGATTGAACCTCTGAGGTACTGAATTTATTGAAGCAAGTTGTAGGTTTGGACTTTTACACCATGGCCTCGTTCACATTTTCAGTGTCACAACCAGCAGTGACCATCAATGTCTAGAAATGAATTGAAGTTTTTTTGCTCAAGACTTTGCTCCGAAATTGGTGGGCTGTGTATTAAGCGAGAATCCTTATTGAGCAAATGGATAGATTTTTATGAGATATGGGCTGGTTCTGTCTGTAATGAGTTGATATATAGCCGCCATGCCACGATTTTTGCTGTTGGCCCTACCATTTTTACTACTGGTGTATATGCCTCAATGTCCTCCTAATGGCAAACAGTACTAGAATTTTAGCCACGGTTAGGCAGGCTGATGATGACGTTAGGAAGAGGAAGAGAGAGAGAGAGTACTGGCTTGGCTAGTATAGAATCATTAGATCCATAAAACTGGCTAGAAAACAAGGTTGCCAAACTTGACCATGATATGAGAACCCTTGGTTTCGTTTTAAAAAACGACAGTTATGATTCTTCTAAAAAGTAAAATCTGAATCACCCCTTATAAAGATGGTTGCAATTACGGTTCTTAAACCTTCGATTCCGGATCTAGTTTTAGTTTCATTTTTATTTCGATTATGATTCCGATTTCTTTCGATTAGGATTTTGTTCTTTTAATTATGTTAAAACACTTGTTATTATAATATTTATTATAATAAAATATGACAATGAATGTAGAAAGAAATTTATTATATTATCATATGCAAGGAAAAAAGCAAATGACATAAATTTTATATATATAAAAAAAAACGTCATTGTTAGTTAGATTGGATTGGTCTTGAACTTAAATTAGTTGTGGAGTCTAGACATACTAATAAAATGGGAATATGGGTCGTTCAAGTTGGATTGGGACTCGTGTGTTGGGTACCAACTATTGAAATTGATCTTTACGCAATAAGTATTTTTTAAGATAGTTTAAATAGATCTTACATTGTCCGTTCTGATTTTGGTTGAAAATTTTGATGAAACTAAATCTAAAACTTTAGTCATGGTTATAGTTTCGGTTTCAGAATCTAAAATTCAAATTCAATTTCGGTTCAACAACAGGATTTCGGTTCAAACCTAAACCGTGCCACCCCTATCTATTACTCTTTTAAAAGTTTGAAGAGTCTTATTATTATAAGAGTGCAAGCACTTTCTTATCTTAATATTTCATTCTCATGTAACCCTTTAATAAATCAATTATGTGTTACTTCTAATACTATATTTAATAGAACAACACTTCAAGTATCCAACTTCCCCACGTAATTATTCTTTGGCAATGCTAAATTTAGATTAAAGTAAATTAAACTCACAATAGAATTTGTTCAGACTTATAATAGAAATTTGGATTAAAGTTGACAATAATGACCCAAATCCTCAATTTAAATTGAAAAACCAAAGAGTAATCAAAATTTTAAAAAAAATATAGGAAAAACTACATGTACCAACCAAATTTCAATAAACCAAAATGAACAGCAGGCAAAAGCAATTAAACGTTTCAAATAATCACGCTCTTGATTAACTAAAATAACATGTTATGGTTTGCTCTGCCGGACAAATAAGAAAATAATGTTTATCAGTAATCAATGTGCCATCCGTTATTCCCCTAGTAAGCAAAAATGAAATGTCTATACCATATAATATAAAGCCTTGGAAGGGGTTTGAACTTTACATTTATTGTCACTTTATGAACTTCCTCTTTTATCCTTATAAAAATTACTTTTAGTTTAACTACCTTTAACTACACATGACTATTTTTACTTTTAACTATACAAGTATATATTTTCAACATAACTATCCCAAAAAGCATTATAACTTAAAATTATTTAATGAGAAATATTTAAAAGATTAAAGTTTGCTTCTGTGATAAAAATTTTTATTTAAAATATATGATCATAAATATTATGTATTTTTTTATTACACGCATATGGAGTGTACATTGAGCACTAGTGATAAATAAAGCCAATTACTCTCTTTGTGACATAGAAGATTCAAAAATTCTTTTATAGGAGTAACAGCAATTTTAGGAAGCATTAATTTAAAGGAACACCTTTCAGTGTATTTTTTTTTATAGTAGACACAGTAAGGATTCTCTTAGGATCTGTTTGGTTCATGGGATTACACTGAATTTGATTAATTATCCTGTATCATCCCATGTTTGGTTGCCTTTTACATATGGGATGACATATCCCAATTAATCGAATAAATCCCCTATTCATGGGATAAAATAATCTCATGGAGGAGGTGGTATTAGTCATCGAGAGATGACTAAGAGATAATGATAAAATTTTAGACTAATTTATCCTTACAAATAATATAAAATTTATACTCTTATAATTATATAACCTTACCCTTACAAGATAATATAACATGAGTGGACTAATTTGTCCCTACTAATTAATCTAAAATTTTTAGACTAATTTGCCGCTACTACTAACATAACAATATTTGGACTAATTTACCCTTGCGAATGATACAAATTCATGTTGAATATTATATAATCATACTCTCACACAATAATATAACAATAAATGGATAAATTTACCCCACTAATTATATTAATTTTTTTGACTAATTTTCCCCTATTCATTATTTTAAATTTTTTGACAAAATTTACCCCTATTAATTAATTTAAAATTTTAAACTAATTTGCCCCTACTTACATCATAATAAAAGGACTATGTTGCCCTTACCAACCTTATTTGCTCAATCAAAGTCTATTTAAGTTCAAATTCAGCCCAAAGAAAAATATTCTATTGGCTTGAGCGTGGCTCATTTAGAACTATTATTTGGATTGGATTTTATTCAATTTAAACCTAATTTAGTCAAAACTCGATCCATTATTTAATTAAATTTAAAATTTAGATTCAAAAACTAGGTTAGAACCTATTTTTAAGGTCCCAAATGGGCTAACTTTGAGTAAATGTAAATTTTATATATCAAAACCCTTGATTTACTTTATAATTCTAAAGTTTAAAATTATTTTATTTAAATAAAATTTATAAATTATTTTATTAAAATGATCCTACAAATTAAGGGTATTTTGGTCATTAAAATAGTAATCCTATCTCATTCAATCTCCAACCAAATATAGGATAGGATTATTTTCCAAGATATTCTATCCAATCTAGAATCAACTAAACACTAATGATTTGGATTATTAATCCGAGAATGATTCAACCCCAAGATTAATAATCTGAAAATGAATCATACTATCTCATCCAATACGTGAACCAAACGAACTCCTAGGGTATTGAAAGTAACATTTTAAGGCGCATTGAATGGAAGATTTAAAGTAAACATCACGACTGCTCAATTTTGATTTGCTGTATAGTGTAGTTTTCCGTGACACACTAACTTGAGTCCAGCCCATTTTGACTGCATTTTTTGAGAATTTTACGGAGTTTTTTTTTTGAAAAAAAACCCTCTAATTGTTAGGGAGAAAACCTCGAGTGAGCCCAACAAAATATCCAATATGTGAGTCAAAAATCCAATCATGATCCAAAAACTTAAATTATTAGATTTTGGTCACTTACTTACATATTCATCGCTTTTTCTTTATCTTTCGAATCAATGTGGGACAAAATTCTTTATTCGTGAACCTCTCACATTGAACCAATGTTTACAAGTTCTTCTCCGAGCCATTTTAATGCTCAATGCAAGTCCACTTTAACACCTAGATTTCGGACCCCTACCAATCCTTAACTTCTTGGTTTAACACCAATCGGACCCCTGTCATACTCATGATGCACCTAATATAACACCAGCTAAACTCATTGGCACTTCGGTCCACCACTAAAAAGAGAATTTTCATAGATTTAATTTCGAGAAGAATCTATTTACCCATAAGTAGCCCAAATTAACAATCAGAAAATCTGATACCACATGTTAGGGAAAAATCTCAAGAGAGCCCACCAAAGAGCCGAATACATAAATTAAAAATCCAACTCTGATAAAAAACTTAAACTATTAGGTCTCATACCTTTACACATTAACCGTTCTTTCTCCATCTTTCGAACCAATGCGAGACTATTCATGAACCTAAAACTAATACATTTTTTAAATATGATGCATATTAAAACAAAGATTGTTAAAAAATGTATTTGAATGA